ATCCTCTTGCGATCGCCCACACGAGTCCGACTTGAATCCGATCGTTTCGCGAAGACATTGTGTTCCGTTTCGCAGCATATCGCATCCGGTGCAGAAAAATCGCTGCTTACAATCGCGATCTCGAATTTACGACTACACCGCGGATCTTTGCGCAAAATAAAAATTACCCGGATTCTTTAGCCTTTTCAGCGTTAACTCAAATGAGAGATACAATAGAAGAAATATCTGCTTTTCATATGGGTGCCACTTCAGATCATTATGAATCGTATAATGATCATGGTAAATGAAATTTCTCACAAATTCCACAAATTGTCTGCACTAAGTGCAAACTAAACATCGAAATAATTAAGGGAAAGAGATCTGAAATTCCGACTACACATCGTAAATAGCTCTACACCCACTTTCCTTCGCGAAACAAAACTTTCAGTACAATTCGAAGTAAATTGCCGGCATTTATTGCAACGTCTTAAGGCATGACAAAACAAAATTCGTCGGAGACACGTCAAATGAGCCATCGTACTCCTTCGTCGAATAACCGAGGAGATCCCAAGGTTCCGAGAGTCGATTTCGCTAATCGATCGGCCGCGTCACGATCGAAATCTCGAGGAAAAAAAGAAAGAGGAACAGGTACATACTCGTTGGTGAATCACCGTGTCACAGTTCTTTCGAGCGAATGGCGGCTGTTGCCGACGTTGTATGTCGATCTGTGTGTAAACGTGTGTGCGACGTGTGTCCAAATGTGTGTGTCGGCGCACACGTAGCGGTCCTGTTACGAGGGCGTCGAGGAAGGAGCGTCCATTCACGCGTGACACACGCGCGCGCCGTTACTACGCTTACGTTCATTCAGAAAAACCGTGGCTTTCCTGGAAGCCACGCCGAGCCGCTCGTCGAGATTACGAGATTCGCGAGACGCGGAAGCGTGGCGATTTGAATCATTGACACCGGATTAGTGTGGCTAGCAGGTGATTCAGAGGACCATGTTTTAGTCGTCTTTCCATGAAGAATTTGCGACCGGTTCTAAGAAACACTCCTCGCGCTATAATATCTCCGATGAATTGGCAAAAAAGTATGAATCGAAGTATATGATTAATTGTGTAGAAAAACACGTTCGAAATGCAACGCCAGGTCAAAGCGAATGGCTAGACTGCGATTTTTATGCATTTTTGGCCAAAATGGCTAGGTCAGGAACGGAATTACAAGGACATGAGAAGAATTTGAGAATTTTTGTTTATATTATATACAATTTGTTAAAATTTTTAACAGAGAAAAGGCATTTTCATGTGACTTACGTTTCTTACAATCAACTTAGACAATTTTCATTTTGCATATAAACCCGCAGGCTATTAAAACATACGCTTCGTCTCATCGTGTTCGATTTAAAAACTTTTTCTGTTTCCAAATGACCGTGTGGAGCTTAAAAATTTTATTTAGGAATTTTGTTTTGAAATCGTGTTTTAGGGTGAAGTCTTCTCTGTAGAATGAGCTCTCTCTCTCTCTCTCTTTCTCTCTCTCTCTCTCTCTCTCTCTCTCTCTCTCTCTCTGAAAGATTAAGATGTGATTATTCTACACCGTTTTATCACAATTTAGATGAAAAGTGAACCGTCATTGCAATCATCAAAGATACATCACGCGCAAGTTTCGTAATCACACTTCCACCTCACGGATGTGTATTTAAGGTGTGGGTGTAGTGTGTAAGTTCGATGTAAATTTTGCATATGCCTAGAGTATAGGTAGCTTTTGTTACACCTCTTGCAATAGTGATAAAATCGACATATTTGCATGCAGTGTTACACGATTCGAAACAAGACTTTATAAACTGTTTACTGATTCACCGATCTTCCGTCATTTATCTCAATGCATTTATCGCAATAAACAAATAAATAAATGAGAGCCTGACGTCTCGTGAAAATTTCCAATTCATTTGATCTCGCGCCAAACAATAAAGAAATAACAAAGAAACGTATAAGCTCAGTCCATTACAAGACGCAAGAATGCGTCAACAATGCCGAAGCAATTTTGTCGAATAAATCCAACAGTCCGTTTCCCGGTTGCCTTCCAAAATCGCGTCAAGATCGCGTGTCCCGCGACGGCGCGGAATTAAAAACCTCGACTGCTTCCTAAGACTAATTACACGGTTCCCGAGCAACAAGAAAAAAAAAGTCCCGAGCACATTTCGTCCGCTGGGACTTATGAATCAGCGTGATTCAAGGCTTCCTCGGATCAGACGGATTTGTAAGCTTTAAAGCTTGAAACGCGAGAGGAGATCCACTCGCAACACCGAGCCGGATGAATTGAATGCAACGGGCGAGCATCTTTATCTGCACTCGAACGGTGCAGCTCGATGACTCACGGCATAACTTCACACTTACTATGCCGCTGCTCGAGGCTGCGCCAACTTTTTCATCCGATTTTTATAGTTGATCGATGCTCGTTATATGGAGATCACGAAGCTTACCGTTCGACTTACACTCACGACCTTTGTGATCTGTGTCGGTTATGGGTGATGTCTGCCGACGCGGATGTGTGGACAGTGATTCACGGTAGGAGGACGATTTAATAGACTGTTTAGTATTAGCGCTACGACTGTGAAACACTGTTTAAACAATATCGTTTCCTGTTGGTTGCGTAATTTATGGTAGTTGCACAATTGGTGAATGAACAAGAATGTACACGCGTGGCAAAGGCAAACGTTTCTGCTTATAATGTTCGGATAATAGCGTTTGGGTGTGAGAATATATTGAGTATTCCGGTTGCAGAATGTTTAATTAATAGATTGCGAAGCAAATTGTTTAAATACTAGACGATCTGCGACAGTTGTCGGAACAAAGGAAATATTTGTGGTTCGACTAATCATCAAACCGGTAAATTTCGCGCGTTCTTCAACTACGAATGGGACGAATTGTGATTTCCGAGGCGATTGACCCTGCCGATGACGGGATTGCGGTGTGATACTGTTATTTAACCGCATCCACCGAAGACAATTAATATTCCGNGTAGAATGAGCTCTCTCTCTCTCTCTCTTTCTCTCTCTCTCTCTCTCTCTCTCTCTCTCTCTCTCTCTGAAAGATTAAGATGTGATTATTCTACACCGTTTTATCACAATTTAGATGAAAAGTGAACCGTCATTGCAATCATCAAAGATACATCACGCGCAAGTTTCGTAATCACACTTCCACCTCACGGATGTGTATTTAAGGTGTGGGTGTAGTGTGTAAGTTCGATGTAAATTTTGCATATGCCTAGAGTATAGGTAGCTTTTGTTACACCTCTTGCAATAGTGATAAAATCGACATATTTGCATGCAGTGTTACACGATTCGAAACAAGACTTTATAAACTGTTTACTGATTCACCGATCTTCCGTCATTTATCTCAATGCATTTATCGCAATAAACAAATAAATAAATGAGAGCCTGACGTCTCGTGAAAATTTCCAATTCATTTGATCTCGCGCCAAACAATAAAGAAATAACAAAGAAACGTATAAGCTCAGTCCATTACAAGACGCAAGAATGCGTCAACAATGCCGAAGCAATTTTGTCGAATAAATCCAACAGTCCGTTTCCCGGTTGCCTTCCAAAATCGCGTCAAGATCGCGTGTCCCGCGACGGCGCGGAATTAAAAACCTCGACTGCTTCCTAAGACTAATTACACGGTTCCCGAGCAACAAGAAAAAAAAAGTCCCGAGCACATTTCGTCCGCTGGGACTTATGAATCAGCGTGATTCAAGGCTTCCTCGGATCAGACGGATTTGTAAGCTTTAAAGCTTGAAACGCGAGAGGAGATCCACTCGCAACACCGAGCCGGATGAATTGAATGCAACGGGCGAGCATCTTTATCTGCACTCGAACGGTGCAGCTCGATGACTCACGGCATAACTTCACACTTACTATGCCGCTGCTCGAGGCTGCGCCAACTTTTTCATCCGATTTTTATAGTTGATCGATGCTCGTTATATGGAGATCACGAAGCTTACCGTTCGACTTACACTCACGACCTTTGTGATCTGTGTCGGTTATGGGTGATGTCTGCCGACGCGGATGTGTGGACAGTGATTCACGGTAGGAGGACGATTTAATAGACTGTTTAGTATTAGCGCTACGACTGTGAAACACTGTTTAAACAATATCGTTTCCTGTTGGTTGCGTAATTTATGGTAGTTGCACAATTGGTGAATGAACAAGAATGTACACGCGTGGCAAAGGCAAACGTTTCTGCTTATAATGTTCGGATAATAGCGTTTGGGTGTGAGAATATATTGAGTATTCCGGTTGCAGAATGTTTAATTAATAGATTGCGAAGCAAATTGTTTAAATACTAGACGATCTGCGACAGTTGTCGGAACAAAGGAAATATTTGTGGTTCGACTAATCATCAAACCGGTAAATTTCGCGCGTTCTTCAACTACGAATGGGACGAATTGTGATTTCCGAGGCGATTGACCCTGCCGATGACGGGATTGCGGTGTGATACTGTTATTTAACCGCATCCACCGAAGACAATTAATATTCCGACGAATTGAACGCGCGCCGCGTACGTGCTTCCGTTTTCCTCGTCTCTCGTCCGACAGAGGATTTTAGGAACTCTTATCTATCGCAATATCGAAGAAGTATTTCTTTACTACACTGTACAATTTCTTCTGAAAATCAGACAAATAAATACTCGCTTTTTTAAATTGTCAACGAGTGTAAACGTAGAAAAGACTAATCTAATCCTCCGGGTAGGAGCATCGTAAAGTATTTTATTTTAGCAGAAACAATGCAGCATGATAAATGGTTAATAGCAGTTCATGCAATCCATACAAACTATTCTCTTATACAAAGGAACGTTAATGGGTTAAAATAATAGTATTCACATCGTTCGAGCACAGCTCATCCGAGAAAAACGCAATTGTCATTTTTCTACTGTCGAGTCTGAGATCATCGAAAGAATGAAACCGTTTTGTCTTGGCTCGTGTGTTTTGGATCCTCGTCTGACATAGAAATAATTTTCTTGTTACAGAACTATCTCTCTCAATTCGGCTACTTGCAACCTATAAATCCAACGAGTGGCGGCATCATATCCAAGGACTCGCTGTCCAGAGCGGTCGCCGAATTCCAAGCTTTCGCAGGATTGAACATAACAGGTGAGCACGCGACCACAGGTTGCAACCAGCAATCTTCGCGATTCGGAATTCTTCGGATCTAACACGACACATCACCACCTGTTTTTCATCGCGAGACATCATCATTCAAACGTGCATCGACTTCCGCAGTCTTCTGTTTGCAACATTTCTGTGTTCTTTCGACTTATATCTTTCATTCACTCTCGAAAGGAGAAAAAATGATTGAACTCCTCTTTACCGAAATCGTAAATTCTGACATATTATACAAGTGGAGTTGTTAGAAACACAGAATTAATTATTAAATTGGAGACGAAAGGAAGATACCAGAGGATTGATCCTTCAATTGAATTGTGTCGAGGTCGGAATCCTGTGTGAAGTAACTTAATGTAACTTTTTATAAAATAAATCACTGCATCGATGGGAAAAAGAGAAAAGGATGAAAAGGAAAAAAAGTCTATGAAAGATCGCGAAATCGCGGATCTCGCCGGTGTTCGTGATCGATTAAGCTTCACGCGCGTCCTTGCGATCGCTTAGCCGTCTTATATTTAACCGTAATTGAGTTTAATGGTTCATGTGGGTGCACGGTCCATGAATCATTACGGAGGATTCATTCATTCAGTGTCCCGCCGGTGTCTGACTCACTGTACCTCCCATCGAGACATCAAATTTACGGAATCGGTATAATTAAAAAAAAAAGTTTAATTCAGGTAAATCTCAGAGTTTTTTCTTTGCTCAAAAAGATATAATCGACTAATTCAGTAATTCCAATGCTAAAATCGTACAAAAATCTCGTCATCCGAGTATGTTGACCAGTTTATATCGAACATAAGCGTGTCCCCCTGTAGATTGTTGCGAATATATCATCAGATATCACGCACCGTGTCAGAGTCCGATTCCAAAGTCGTTTCCGGTACGTCAAAGGTGTACGCGTACGTCATACCTTTTCGCGGGAACTATTATCATGCCGGGTTGAATCGAGAGAAAACCCTGCTGTGTATGAATCTGAAAGGAATGATAAGACGGAGTGGTCAAAGGAACGAATCACGTTACATTCGTGTAACGAAATAAACGAGAGGCCAAAGTTCGTGGAACAAAATTGTGAACAAGTCGCGGAAAATCGCGCGAAGTCTGCACAAATACAGGTCTTATTATATGCGGTAACGCAAAATAATCGCTTTTACTGTTTCATACTCTTAGCACCAATGAAACGGCCAGTGCACTTGATAAAATTGACTAATAGTTGACCTAACTCTACCATTCTATACGAAATTGGGCTCTTAAATTTTTGAATACTCTTCAATATAACTACGACTTTATTTTAAAGAACGAATAAGTCTTAACTATACGCCTGAAAGATCCAGAGTACGGAGTCAAAAGTAAACCCCATCATGCATCCATAAACGCCCAATCGAGTTCAACAGTTTCGCAGTCGAAAAGACGGTCGACTTGGACGCAATCGTAAACCGGGAAGAAAATCGAAAGGCGTCTATTTCGATGTACCATGAACGTATTAAAAGAAAAAGGAGCAGAAAATGTGGAGGACAAGAGCTCATAGTTTGCATACTAATGTCGCGAAAGCTGTCTCGCAGAGAGAAAGATCGTCGACGAAGAAGTTACGCCGCTGATTCTACGAAATCGGTGGGATCTGCTCGCGGATAAAAACACGCGCTTGCACCTTCCTCGCGGTAGTCGACGAACCGGCTCTGAATAAAGAGCGGATTTTTAAATTTCTAGACCTTGAGGGACCGGATCCGCGATGAAAACGCGCTTGTGTGCGTGCAAAAACCCGAGGAAAATGGACGGACGTCAAACAAACGTCTGAGTGGCTCGTGAGGATCGTTTAACGGATAGAAGCTGTTGAAACGAGCGTCGCAACCATTGCCAAGGCTCGAGCCTTGACACATCGTTGAGACGGCAAACAACGCGCCGACATGGTCGAACAAAGAAACAAATTATTGTTGTTTCCGGCGAAACCGTGGCTTCACTGAAATTCGATGGCGAACAGCGCTGATAACGCGTTATCACGACCCACGAGTTAGAGTGAGTGATAGACGAATTATAGTGATAACTGGTTCGAGGAAACAGGCAAGGTATCGAGGAATAATGGGAAACCTTGAAAAGTTAGTTTCTGTTTGTTAGTTAATCGTTTTTGATTGGATTTAGCTTTTTATTGGGCATTGGAAGTAAGAATATTCATTTAGGTTATGAATTTAATTGTTCGCGTTACAATTTAGTGATGGAAAATTATTTTGCTCCTTTTTGTATTATATTATATATAATATGTAATAATAAACTCTAGTAGAGAAATATTAATGACATTTTTGTATTATTGGCATATCGATGAATAATGAAAATGAATATTTGTACACTTTAGATGTCGTGGGTTAATTAGCGAAGCCGCGTTTAAATGGCGATTCGTGAGGACGAAATTATTTAAACTAGTAAGAGGTCCCCTTTTGATTCGAGATGATGACGGTAAGTCACGAGTTCGGTGAAAACGGAACACATCTATCAGTGGCGCTTAAAATGTGACTCACACAGGAATCCTGTTCTTAGAACACGTTGTCGCAAACTAGTTATTTAAATAGCTCATGGGATACTCGAATTTTGCATATTAGAATTTGCCATGCATATGAACTGTTTACGAACGTGAACTCCTCGATTTCAAATTATTGACATTTTTAAACAAGATTTATAACGGTTTCGTAATTAGAGTTACAAGTTCTTGCGATCAAAAGCTGGATTTTCTAATGCTATATTAGAAATACTAACGCGACGCCGGCGATTATGTCGGTACTATTAAACATCGTTAAGGTAGCCCAATTAAGAACAATTAATGTAATGAATGCATTCGAAGAAGAGACGAAACGAGCCGCGATAAAGTATTTAAAACGAAGAAAAACTGAACTGTGGAATACTCGACGGTATATCACCATGTAATTCATCGTTCTTTTTAAGAAACATGATCCATCTGTTGCTAAAGATTTTCAAATCTCGTAACAATGTCTTGCATCGAGTCTGACAGTAATCTGCGATGTAATCTTCGATTAGTTTATTAATCCATGTCGCGGCTGTTTAGACAATCGATAGAATTTAGCATTGACGTTTAATATGAAAAGAATTTTTTAAAAGATGAATAACAATGTCAAGAGAAATCATTGAATAATACTACTGGAACCGATGATTTAATATTATCGAAGTATCATAAAATCGGTAAAAAAATATATCGGTCTGATGCCAAAACAATTACAGACTTTTCACGTCTCAGAAACAAATGAATGGCTGAACATTGATGAAGGGATGAATATCAATTCGAAACGAAATCGAGGATGGTTATCATAGGAAAAACTGGTGGATAGATCTCGTAGCTGTTAATTCGAAGAGAACGTGAAACGGCTGTCGGTGGACAAAGTGCTAATATAGTGTCGCGTTCACAGAATGAGCAGCAAACGGTTTCAACGAGCATCCACGGTCGGAAGTGGCGATTCGATGGTCGCCAATAAAAAACGAAGGTGAACGGAAGAATGATCTAACTATGAAATTGTACACCGCCGGTGACGGTATTATTCGAGATGAGACGTGTTTATTGACAGTAATATCCGCGTGTCGCGGGCATCATCATATTCGCCGCTTCCTAGTACCGTTGAATATCATCACGTTCGCTCTATGTTCCCGCTACACTGTAATCCGTGCAGAAACAATGGTTATAGCGATCGGCAAGAAATGGAGTACGTGTTGAAAGATCCCGATCGAGAGATCATTAGAGAGGAGAAAAACGCGATAAAATCGCACGCAACCGAGCGATTCTAATATGTTGCAAGAGAGAAAGAAAGTCTGTCTCCGTCGACTAAAATCGGATGTCGCAAATCAGTTTCGCTATAAGTTGCAAAACCGTGGCTGCAAAATCGATCTAATTTTATTTAGAAGCTGCTGGTTGCTTAACGATAATTTCCAAAGGGACCAATGAAGCAAAATTGCGCTTCACTTTCTCCAACAATCTGACAGAAAATAAATAAATATTTTACAGTAAAAGGGAAGTGAATTATTGAAGCAAGCGTGAACGTGAATGTGAAAAGCGGAAAGGTCTATGAATTAATCAAATGAAAGTTACACGTCACTAGTCGATTCAAATTATTGAAGGAGGGTTTTTATTGGCGAGTTGGAATTGCACGTTTCGCGTTGCAATTTGTTCAGGAAATGAATTTTCTTTTTAAACGCATCTTCGTCGTTTCTCGTGGGAAGCGATTTTGAAGGTTGATTCGGGAATAAAATGAGCGTACCGAGTAATTTGATTTCAAAGCACGGTAAATGCATCAAATTGCGCCAGTTTAGATCCCGAGATTCTCATCTATCGATCTCTCAGTTTTACCGCACGCTCTGTTTTCCATCCGTGATCTTCCGTGCACGTGCGCGCTGCATTTGTATCGTGGTGCATATGCATCGACGTAACTCGAACGCGTATACATATGCATAATATGCGGACCGTGTAACAACCTTAAGTCGTTCGCGCACTTGAGCGAAAGATGAGTCTCCTGTGATTGAATTCAGATCGAGCGTGCTCGCGGAATGCACCGTTTGCGAAGCATAAATAATCTGTTCTGTAAAATTATATTTCAACCACTAAACTAAATATATTTAAAACATATATTTCTATTATATTTATCAAAATTATAATTGATAGTAGGTGTTATAATGTGTAGACCAATAGAGAGTTCTAAAGAAATAGAACTTGAAAATATGAGAATTAATTGCTTTACAAACTGAATTTTGAAGATTGTGGATTCTAACGTGTTGTAACCGTGAAATCGAATTTCTCGCATTGTCTTCTCTGAGTTTCTATAATTTTAGTTTAGGGATAATTAGAATACGAGTTTGACCAAGCGTGTAACTGGCTTTAGCCACATCACGTGAAGACAAGCGACCGCTATATGCGTTCTATGGTCACGCGAATGGAAGCCGCGCACTTATTAATACATGTTTGTGTGAAAATTGTAGCGTTAGAGGAACGTTACCAGAAATCTTCTTGCATTCATTTAAGACTAATCGAACAGGACTAAGAAATCTGCTTGCTGCGTTCGTAGTTCAGCGATTTAAAAATGAAAGGAACACCCACGATATTGTATCGAAACTTATACGATACCTTTTAGAAATTATTGCAAACTGTAGAGGCAAGATCATCAGACCATCGGTACATTAAATATATTTCATGTTAGTCTATTCGAATCATTGCGGTCTTTGGAAAACTTTTACGTAAAAAGAGAATTACTTGAAACTGATACAATTTTTTCTTCGTTTTCAGGCGACTTCGATGAAGACACGTACAAGTTAATGGCACTGCCAAGATGCGGCGTGAAAGACAAAGTTGGTCCCGGATTTGGACGATCGAAGCGGTACGCTCTTCAAGGTAAGTCAAATCGAAAATGAGACAGGCCTGATTCTTCTATCTGTTCGGTTTTTGCCGATCGAAAAACGTGTGACATAACGTTCGATCGATTATTCGATTATCTAATCGATCACCGTTGTTACGTATTCGAATAGCAACGATAGTGACAATTATCAAAATTATGTAATAGTCGAGATTCGGTTGAATTGTCAACATGACCGCTATTCAGAAATTTGTGATTCAGAAAGCGCGCGTTTTTCTTCCAATTAAACTTCAAATTTTGGAGCTTGCTAAATTGAAAAATCGCGATTCTTTCATTTCATGTATTAAAAACCATCCGTTTGGCACCGCTAAAAATTAACAACCGTAAAAATTTCACTTCACAAGAACTGTGAACAGTTTAATGACATGGTATTGCAACAGACTGTTTCCATAATGGAAAACTGTTTAGCAGCACGGTGTTACTTTTAACTTCCTGCCTCATTATCGTCGGTATAGAACCAGTCACCCTAAACAGGTCATGCGCATCTGTGTAGCAGCCATTCGCTGGTTGTTCCGAATGCATTCTTTAACCGTCGAAAATGCTCCAAATACATTTTTCTACAATCTAATGAAACCATTGCCTCGTTAAAATAACAATTACTACAGTTGAGACGTTAATTTCCACCCAAATTCCATTTCTGCTTAAAAAACACAAATAACATACTACTACACCAAATTTTGATTGCAAAACTGATAATCCAACAAAAAATGGTTCCACAGTTCAAGCAATTCAGAAATTATGAAATCGTGATCATTCTTATTAAACTGTAGTTCCCAAACCAGTCCCTGAAGCCAATAGTAACTTCGATGATCCTATCGTAACTTCTACGGCTTAACTATGTGAATTAGAAATATTGAAAAATTGCTAATTATGTATTAGAACAACAACGTTCTAGAACATTAAACCTCATGGCCATTGTCTTTGGAACAATTCCCCGAGAGCTTTCATGCTCTGAAATCATACGGGAATTACCCTTTGACCGCAGGTAATGCCAATTAGTGTTCCAAGTCGCGTAAACTTCCCGTAACAGCGCCGCCTAATTAATCACGCGGCCTTTCTTCCTGGAAAACGAATCATCAAGTTGCCGCACGTTCCTGAAACCGATGATTCGGTGCCGATCGAACCGCGAAGGAATCCTCGTCGGGTTCGATCGGTTCTAACCGTGACTTTGAACCTCGCGCGGGCATTCCTCGTTCTCAGTGAACCCGCGGCGACGGGATTGCCGATGCGTAAATCCGACGGAATTCTATTCGCATAATATGCGGGCTGTGACCCACTAGATCCCCAGCGATCCAAATGGAACGGCCTTAAGGGATTATTCCTCCTCCTTTTCAGACACAAATAACTTGCGGATTTATTTTTAATTTTTATATTTTATATAATTTTGTATTAATTACTTTATACAAAATGCTATTGGTTTTCAATAATCTATACGTTCTTTAATAGTTGAAAAATATGAAAATACAACATAAAAAATTTAGGGAATGCTATTCCATGAAAACAAGTGATTAGTTGCAGTCATATAACATTCACTATTTACTTTCGTATTTACTATCATATACATCTATCTACTTTTATATGTAAAGAAGAAGCTTTGATTCTAATTGATTAATCGATACTTTTACCGAGAAACTGTCCCTCCATTACTTGATGAACAGACAACGTAGTTCATTACATAAAATATTTTTAATTAAAAGATCATGCAATTTTCACAGTAAAAATCACTATTTGAATTGGAAAAGTGTTGCAGTTAGGCAATTATGTAATGCACATGTGTGCAGAATATGGAATTAATTTACCGCATAGTAGCACTGGTAAAATGTGCCAAATGTGACAGAGAGAAAGCTAATTCCCATTTAGAGGTTTTGCGTAACGTCGATTGTTGAGAAATGACCTTTTGAGGATTCTTATGTAACAAGCTAATGATTTTTCGGTTTGAATGGTCCTAAAATAGCTCGGTACATGTTCCAGTGAGCAACAACAGTCTAAAAAAGGATCTAAGCTTCGCCGCTCGCACGCGTTTTTCAATTTTAATAACAGCGACCGCTAATCACGCTCGACCTTGGTCACTAGAACCTTGCTGCATCTGTCGTTTCAACAGTGGATAATAGATTCTTGTCGCGATGACGAGGCAATCTTCTCAAACCTATCCTCTGGGACGAGTTGATAATCTTTTTGTATCGAAGATAATTGTTTCGTACAATTAATAAACCAGTTTGGTTGCATGAAACGTGTTTGTCGAGACTCATTTACCTTAATACATCAAGTAGATTGAAAACTTTAAGATTATTTACCGAGAAATATAATATTCATCTGCAGGATGCCTAATCTTCAGTCTGATAGAAAGAGTGACTACAAATGTTTCTTGAATAATTGCCTTCAGGCGGCAAATAAGTTGTCAAAATAAACAATTAACCAAAATCTAATAGATATTGTTTTATTTAGGATCACGATGGCGTGTGAAAAAACTGACTTACAAGATCAGCAAGTACCCGCGGAATCTGCCGCAGCAAAAGGTCGACGTCGAGCTGAGCAAAGCGTTCAAAGTGTGGTCCGACTATACAGATCTCCTCTTCATTCAGAAGAAATCAGGACAGGTAACAGAATCGAAAAAACATTTTTGGAAATTAATCCTAGATTTCTTGGATTGGTTAACTCTGCAAATACAGAATTTAATTCGTAGCGCCTAATATGCTGAGTGGAGAAGATCGTCTACATTGCATCGGATCTAGTTTATGAATAATTCGCTATTAATGAATTTTAGGTCCACATAGAGATCAGATTTGAAAAGGGCGAGCACGGTGACGGAGATCCTTTCGACGGACCTGGTGGCACTTTGGCTCACGCTTATTTCCCTGTTTATGGCGGCGATGCCCATTTCGACGACGCAGAGCAATGGACAATCGACAGTTTTCGCGGCACCAATCTGTTTCAAGTCGCAGCTCACGAGTTCGGCCATTCCCTCGGCTTGAGTCACAGCGACGTAAAAACGGCACTGATGGCACCCTTCTATCGTGGATACGAGCCCTACTTCCGGTTGGACGACGACGATATCCAGGGTATTCAGGTAAATACGAAGAATACCTGATAAAGTTGTTTACATTAAGTTCAGAATTTAATGTTTTCATAGATCTTTTCTATTGTTGAAGTTAAAGTGTAAACAATCCTGCTAGAATTGTGGTCCTCAAAATTTCAGTTGAAAATTTGAAAAGCCACTTATTCGAACCCATATGTGTAACTCCAACCTAATTGTGCTTCAGGCTTTGTACGGAAAAAAGACTTCGAATTCCGGCGGAATTCCAACTGGACCTAGATTCGGAACTTCGACTACGTCAGCGCCCAGTGAAGAGGATTCCGAGCTTTGCACAGATCCAAAAGTGGACACCATGTTCAATTCTGCGGAGGGACACATATACGTGTTCAAGGGTTCGTATTACACACTCAGAAAATACTATACATTAACCCCAGAGAAATTAAGTAAAAACTGAAAATAGGACGAAATGATAAAAGTGATTAGAACAAAGACTGAATATTCGGATTTTGCTTTGAAATCAATGCTAAGCATTCTATGTAACTGCAGGTGATCGTTATTGGAGATTGACGGCGGACGGAGTGGCAATCGGCTACCCCAAGCTGATTTCGAACTCGTGGAAGGGTCTGCCAGGAAACATAGACGCAGCGTTCACGTACAAGAACGGCAAGACATACTTCTTCAAGGTGAGGAAATCAAACGGTTTGCCAAGAAAACGTTTTAAACATCCATCTCTAAAACTAGACAAAGTGAAACTAGACCAACCCTATTGCTATTAAATCTACAGCAACCGTCGACACAATGCAGAATAAATAGCCAAAGGTCAAAATCGAACAGAAATTTCGAACGCAAAGAGTATTGTAACTAGTGAACGTTCAGAATAAATCATTGTTTTGTCTGAAACAGGGCTCAAAGTATTGGAGATTCGTGGGCAAGAGAATGGACGGGGATTACCCGAAGGAAATCAGCGAGGGTTTCACTGGCATTCCAGACAACATCGACACTGTAACCGTATGGACCGGAAACGGCAAGATCTACTTCTACAAAGGTAGCAAGTTCTGGAGGTTCGACCCAGCGCAGAAGCCGCCAGTGAAGAACACTTATCCTAAACTGATCTCGAATTGGGAGGGTCTTCCGGATAATCTGGACGCCTCGATCGTCTATCGCGGTTATACGTACTTCTTCAAAGGTGACGCTTACTACCGGTTCCAGGACAGGTCGTTCAGCGTTAGTATTCCAACAATATTACTCAATACGATTACTATACTAGTCCTAAAAGTCATAAAAGTTACCAATGAGATTGTAGGAAAAGAAAAATCATTATAGTTATTTCACTTATCTTAAAAAATAGCATTGATGACTCTTGCCTTTTGCCATAACTTGATTAAACCAGAATTAAATAACAATCTAAATGTAAATGACACACCGGGACGAAGGAGTTTAAATAAAATGAACTGCTACTTCTCAGGTGGACGTTGCTGACCCAGCGTTCCCAAGGTCGACGGCGTACTGGTGGTTCGGGTGCAGGTCCGCCAACAAAGGAACACTAGGTAATGTCCAATGGCTGCGTGAAAATCCTGAAGACAGTTTTCCGCATGCTGGCATCCTGGTGCCCGACGACGGTGACTTCGACGACACCGACCGTTACGGAGATGTGGGAGACATCATGCTAGACGCAGGTACTAAAGCTTCATTCGAGCCGAACCAGATCCTAAACTCGCCATAGAAGTTTCAGTGTCCACGTGTTTGTGTTAAAACATCAATCAGGCCACAGAAGAAAGAATTTACAAACTAAGTTCGTAAACAATGAAATATCTAGTCTTGATCAAACTTAAATTGGTCAAAGTGTGCAACATTTTGATGATCTCAAGTTGACTTAAAGTTTTAGACCATCCCATGGCTAATGCAAATTTCTTTTTTTACGTCTTCGTATCTCATTCAACAAAAATGTAGAAAAAAAATACGTGTTATTCAAGGGATGGCCTGAATTTTACAATTTTGAATATTAATGTCTACCTCAAAGTATATACAAATATATACAAAGTTATATTAATTCTTGTATCTATCAATATTTGTAATTTGAATGAACAAGCAAATATTTTAATGTTAGAGCAATGGATAGCTGAAACTTCGAAGTTGTTCCATTTCTGTAAAGAGGCTCAGAGTGTAAAGAAGTGTGATACGGCGGGGATAAAGTATTTGGTGTCTCGAACACCTGGCTACTACGTACCTAGGGCTCTCATCCATTGAAGAAATTTGTGCATGCGCTTAAACAACGATTTTAACGAATATTATGTGCAAAAAGAGTCACGCGATGAAATAAATTCTCATCAAAATAATACACAAGGACGATTACATTCAAGGTACAATAGAGATGATATAATATAGGTACAATATACATACTATACAGTTGTTATTCAACTTCCACGTTCAAAAAGTCTACTTTTATCGCAGTTCGGATTGTGATGCAACTAGCCATGCAATAGCTAATACATCGCATTGTGAGAATAAAGATAAATTGCACCTTGACGATCATATTCAATGGATAATGTAACTTTAATTCTCTTCGCGTAGATTTCGATCGATCATTATTGCACGACGATCATATCTTACGGTTTGCACAAACTTCTTCTATGAAGAACAATCACAAAATGCGGTAATCGAATAATTTGAGTGTTGAATGGTGGTGGTATAGTATTAAAACCGATCTGATCTAGTTATTGGATCCTGTTGGAAAATCATCAACATCACGGCACACATTATTCAATAGATTTACTAACATATTCATGAATATGCTTCCATACAACATCATCCCCTTGTTTTTGTTCATATGTAATTAATCCACACCCGCAAATCGGCCGTAATATGGACAATACAAATTTTATATATGTAATATTTGTTATTATAAATGAAGTCTTCTAATCTTTAGTCCTACAAATAGGAATTGCTGTGTTACTACCGATTTGTAAAATAAACATTTTACCTGTTCCAATGAATTTATTATTAGGACGACTTCCGCTTAATTTAATTCCCAAAAGTCTTTATTTTACTCGACTTCGTTAACAACGTCAATATTATTCCTTGTACCAAAAATTGAAAAAGTAAATCTATTTTATAAGTTACTCGAAAACCGGAAGTCCTCTTGAGACTAAGTTCGCGCGCAACCACCCCCTGCCCGCGCAATGAGACTCCCACACAAAACCTCCAAATTATATCATTTCGCGAACAATAAATTCCCAATTATCCTGAAGCCCAGCGTATTTACTAGCCAGGCGGCACATGAAGCTTTACGTTTCCAATAGAAAAGAATGTCAAAATGTATATATAAAAAAAACGATAAAGGCTAGTATCCTTCAAAATACCGGTCCACAAGAAGGAGTTAAACGTGAGTTATGATCGCAGTCACCGTCGCCGAGTCCAGTTCGCTGAAAAAAAGAACAGTAAATATTATAATGTTAAGCTTATCCTATCTGTCATCTCTCTATCACTTATTATTTCTCACGTGTTCGCTTGTCCACGAGAATTGCATTCGTCTATTTACGGTACTTCGTGTTCTCTCCTACCTTCATTGTCTTCTGTCTGGCCTTGTTTCTCTACATTCTTCTGGCTATTCCGTGTGACATACATATCCTCATTCCGATCTGAAATCGTTTCCCGACTGTCACTTGTTGTAACATTCATCTATGACCACATATCATCGCGCTAACTTTTGCACCATATGCGTCAGCACGTCCCTTGTTTACTGACACTGTTTCTGTCGCTTGGTACTACTTAACAAAGCAAAATACTACTTAGCACAATACAATAACAAACAAGTATCTTCATATATAATAGCAAAACTATACTAATCACTAACTAGAAATATATTTCTACATTTGAAAACTCGGGCTTGTCCAAGATCTCGAAGAGATTTCAAACGCGAAACTTATGCCCCATAACAATTACTTCGCAACATCAGGAGCTCCATCTATGGATAAGCCTGTAACCTATCACATTACCTTGTTACAATGATAATATTCACTGAGAATACTGCACGAATTTCTGCATACACGCAAAAAGGATGCATCACTGCACGAGTCGAAAGAAAACACGAATGCAACATGCACGCACCTACTGATATACGTGGACATTAAAACACAGGTGCATGGTGATCTATACGGAGGACGGTTACGTTGTTTGGAACTAAATCTGTTGTAGGGCATATCTTTCCCCCCACCCTTGTCCTTACAAGATAAACAAGATTAGCCTTGAACCTTTCCATCTCCGATCCGTTAATTTTTCTTAATTCGTTCCCAGCCTCTAATCCTTTTCTGTTCTCACCAATTTTCCCCTTTTATTTGCACGTATATTTTTGTTTACCTCTTTCTCTCACACACACGATCTACATGCACGAGTATTCTATTTTTAGTTTCTAATGATTTCGTTAGAACTAGGAATCATTTTGGTAATAGGGCATGTTGAACCCTCGAGATCCCTGTGCATCCACTCTGTACTTCGGGTGGTTCTTTGGCCTGTGTGGGAGTGGTTGGAGACCTAGGAATCTCTCTATAAAAACTACTCTCTGGTACTATCGCTGATCTTAGTTCTTGTAACTCTATCCTTCTCGGAAAACATTGTTTCACAAGGTGGACTATGACACGTCGTACACTTGTCTTCCACTTTGTATATTTCCGTCGCTGAAGATTTTTGTGCGAAGACTATTTCAAAAAGATGATCAAAGTTAATCGATTTCATCTGCCATCGTTTCGCATTCAAGTACAATGAAGAAAAACAACGCTTCGCGTTGTATCGCAAAACCAAATTTTAAGATCGTGAAGAACCAGTGAAAGAGAAGTCGCTTGCAAGCACAAAAATCTTACGGTTCCCCGAATGATATTATTTTTGAATTTCTTTTGAACTTACCGAAACGAGACGTTCTGCCACCATTGAGAACCAACGGGGTCAGATGAAATCGCGGCACGACGCTGATTTCGAAATGATTGACGGGGATAATATTTGCGTCGTATAAAAGCGCGGTGTCGAAGGAGTCGCGGTTCCATTAACTCGGAAAAAAACTCGCTTTTTCCAGAGGACAACAATCTACACTCGGAATCGCGTGGGTTCGGGAAAAAGTGAACGAACGGGAATGAAAAACTTGTTCGTTCGAGGAATCTCGTTGAGTCGTAAAGCTCGGGTTAGAAGGCAGCGAAATATGGAACGAGACATTTTTCCAGGGATAAAAAAAAGGTCACTGTTAACACACACTAAATAAAGCACGGGATCGCGGGATGCAGGTTCACGCGGAGCAGACCTCACGGAGAACACTGATCCACAAAAGCAGACTAAACAAAAGTTCCAAACAACGACGAGAGCCTGCGATTTATAACCCATCACCTGTGTTGATTCCACCCGCGAAACTATGCTGATCACGACCGGTGCAGTGAGCCATCCAATCAGCGACGATCCTCTTACGCTTCTATAGGCCCCTTTCTACGATTTGTTTATGAAATTCGACAGGCGAAACGGACGAGCAGCTAGTCACGTCTTCCAATCAGGACGCGGACAACGGAGCGATGCACAATTTCGAATCGTCGTCCCAATGGTGGTGCCTGTCGTTCAGTATGATGACTATGATCCTTGCTAAAATAATCGCCACTACGTAAAGAGATGCCTTTTGCCCGCGGAGGTTATTGAGTGATGGAAGCCATCGATGAGGAGAAGGTCACTAGGAAAATTTGAACTGAACATTTGAACAGAAAGGACGCGGCTCGAAGTATGACGAGCGCACGGAGTGGTGTCAAACTGTGCCAAAACGGCAATACGCTAATTTTAATTCATGCCCACGAGTCGTAGCCGTTAATTCCTCTGATGTCGACGGACACTCTCGCGACAGATCGTTCGTTAGCCCGTCTCAGTCTCTCATGAAACAATCATTCCATTACTGAAGCAACGTTACCCGAATATAGTTTTAAATATTTTGGGTAAATATGCAGTTTAAAGGAGCTAACTCCGACTTCAATGATCTTGGCGCTCTTTTTTAGTTTTCAAGATATTCGCCATACTCAAAAAGAGATGTTTCAGATTGTTTCTCGCGCTAGAGATCTAACTCAGACCCAACCCAGGATCATATTTGTGTATAAGCCTTTCAGTAATCGTAGTAATATAGCAACAACTTTTCGAGAATCTCTAAAAAAAAAAACAAAACGAGGGCGCCTTTTTTATATAAGAAAAAGTTGTCCAGCATGATAACCTTGACAACATATTTCAAGGTGATTGAAATCAAAGGTGGATTCGCTAAACTGTATATTTATCATATTTTGCTTCATCGAGTAGCCGTAAGTATTTCGCAGCGTGCCTCGCGAGATGCACTTTATTCGATTAACGCATTTTAATTGCGAATATTGTTGCACCTCGCCAGACATCCTGTACATATGTAAAGTATGCAAGAGTATGTAAAATATGTTTATACACTACATTGTATGCAACAATGTGTCACCAAACCTGTTAACACTGCCTATTTATTCTTTATTCGTACCGATCGTTTTGTATAGATCTTAATGTTAATGGCACTTATCTCGCGTGTTTGTGCAAAACATGACAAATAGCGAATAAAGAAGAAGGTCAATTGGTTTCATAAACTGACAGTATCATGAGTATTATAGAGTTTTCGCTTCTCGGAATATAAGGAAATACAGAATAATTTGTTCAAATAATTTGAGGAAACATCTATAGTACTCATAGTAGTCACTATACCAGAAAATTGTTCTCTATACAAGTGCCTTAAAATTTTGTCAATATATAGTAAAATTTCATTATCTTTCTTTTATGTATGGATTTCTGTCATTCTATTATCATTATTACAATGCATTAGTGAAGACAATTATCGTACATCTTCTGTGGACAGTCTTATTCTTTATTTACAAATTTTTACGTCAA